CTTCAGAACGATGTGTTCAAATTTTGCACCATTTTGGGGGATTAAAGATGTTTTAGTCGAATCATCTGTGACACTGTGCTTCATGTGTTGCGAGGTCCCAATGGACTTCTGCAGTTTTGAGTTTCTTAGGGGATTATTTTAATAAACGTGAAATTGCTTTAAATTACCTATGCTTTACAGTTTTTTATTACGTGATGACGGCAAAGCCTCGAGGGCTATCTGCCTAACAGGAGTGATGCCTTACGTGGAGGACGTTCTAAGGGAAACTGGCTCGTATACTCGTTACATATGAGGAAAACCACGAAAACGCCCATGCAGCTAGCTCGTTTGCGGATTCGAACCTCGGACCGAACTACCAATGTTCAGCGACTTGGTGGGTCCCCATGCTTTACAGGAAAGTGAATAGAGTGGCCACCGTATTCACCAGGCTTGAATCCGTGCGATTTCTTCCTTTGGGGTCACTTTAAAGATGAAGTGTGTCGAAAAAAATCTAAGAAAACTTGCGAAACTTAAAGAAATTACCAATGATGCATGTGCAGCAAGTCCACTGGCCACTTTACTTAAAATGTCTGCTAATTTCGTCAGTCGATTACGACATGTGATTGTAGCTGATGGTGGACATTTTGAAAATATTGTAATGTGTTTTTCAGTCATTAAAAAATTTCGAAAAAATGTGATTTGGTTCTCAATTATTTTTCTTTCATTTACAGGTTTACTATCTGCAGTGCCATCAGTCGAAAAATTTTTAATTAAAACCAGAAACGTTGGGAGAAAACGGTTAAGCCCTGTCAGATGAGTTTCCAGCAAGAATTATTTTTTTAACCTTAACCGTTTGAGTCCAGGGAAGCGCTATCGCGCTTCACTCGTCGTATGCCAAAAATACGGCGCAGCGCGATAGCGCTTTTCTTGTTTTGTATCGAGGAATGCGAAGACGCTGCTGTTAGTACACTTTACGCAATTATTGAGAGCAGTTGTAGTGATATCAGTAGCAGTTGTTTTATAGGAATTGGAAATTGTTTTAATTTTTTACCAAGTGTTATACTGATAATTACGAAATAACCCATGTCAAGTTCTGATTCATTTGAAAGTGACTATGTTATGAGAAGTGATAATGAAGAGTATAGTAATGACCTTGAAAGTCATAGTGGAAGTGACATCATCATTCGTTCTAAGAGATTACGAGTTATTAGTGATAGCAGTGATGATGATGAAGTAACGGCAAGTACCTCCGATGACGATATTATTGATGAGTTTTTACCCGTAGATACAATTTTTTCGAACGAATCGAATACTTTTTCTGAAGTACATGGACCAAAGCATGCCCCTCCTCCTGATGCGAAACCAATTTATTATTTAAATAATTTTTTTTTCAATTTTCAATAATTTTTTTTTTCAAGTATACTAACCAACAGCAGCGTCTTCACATTCTCGATACAAAACAAGAGAAGCGCTATCGCGCTGCGCCGTATTTTTGGCATATGAAAAATGAAGGGCGCGCCGGACTTAAACGGTTAACCGTTTTCTTGTTATAGATTTTTGAAAAGCGTCAGTCATAGACACTTGGTTATATGTGTTTAGATGAAGACTATTGATTTTAAACTTACTATTTTCGTTTTTCGTAACATTTGCAAGAAATTTAATTTATAATTTTAATTATTAACGTTTAAAGTTAGAGTAAATTTTTTAAATATTTTATGGTGACTACTTTCTGTCTGCTAAATTATGGATTGACAGAATTTTGGACACTCCTTTATGGACCAGAAAGAAATCTGTTGCTATCTTTCGTCTTGTGACTGACCTTGACTCCTTTTTAAAATATATGCATCGAATGATCATTATATCAATCCCAGTTTGTAAATTGTGCAACCTTCACGAGGAAATGGAGGCCTCACATCTGAGTTGTTCCTCTGCTCCTTATGATGGATCACTCTGGGAGAGATATTGGAAGATGAGAATCAAAATAAATTTATAGATTATATTGTGGACTCTTTTTTTAGTTTTGTTGTTTTCTTTCATCTTTGCTTATTCTGTCTACAATTGTCTTTGTAATCTGTCATTAGAGAAGTTAAAAAAATACTTTCTGCCTGCTATTAAGTCTGATTATTATTATTATTATTACTATTATTTAAGAAAAAAACTCTGAAAAATAATGGAATTGGAAACTTTGCAAATTATATTCGTTGTGCGATCAATCGATCTATCAGATACAAATCATATCATTTGCGTTGACTATTCTCATTAGCTTAGTAAGTAGTGTCAGAGGAACTTAGATACAAAATCTCCCTGTGTAGACGAAATGCTCTGAAGAGACATAACTGCAAGGAAGACTTCTTTGGAGATATGTCTCTTCGTGTAGACGAGGTTTAACAGTTGCTTTTGTTTCCTTTTGATGATCTCGAAATGGGATATTGCATTGCCGTTAATACTAAATTCATTACTTGTTTTACTACAGACTTATTCGGGTGGTACTTTTCCACGAAACTTTGTAATCGTTTCTATGTTTTAGACATCTTTAGAATCTCATTTGAAGTCAAGATTCCTTTGCCTTTTACTCCTCTTTCTCGGATTAGATCACCTCCTATTATTGTCGCAGGCAATGCAAAATCATAAGTTCGCTGGTGGCTAATTCCTGTACATTTTCCTCCATAGCTTTTGAACGCAATTCGCGCAGGCCACAATGCTATAATAAATAGTAGGCGCATGTAAGATTATTGACGATAGAGGCAGGTCGAATTAAGACCGAGTAAGGGAGATATTTACCCATAATCACGCAGCTAGAGAAAAAACAACAGGGTTTTAATTGTGATTCATATGACGCTCGGCAGGTAGCATGTACTTGTACTATTTGTATTGCAAGGCGATGCTCGTTTATCAAATTAAAATGTACTATACATTTTTGCTCGATTTGCAAATCACTTGTGAATCAAGTTACTAGCAATCCAATGTTTTACTATGTATGTAAAGAAAAGCAAAATTTTGCATTTATACTATATTAAAAGATGACGAAGGTTTTATCAATTGACTATTATAAATAGCTTTATGAGTATGTAATTAGCTGAAGAAGAAAAAAAAATGCTTTGCGGAAAATATGGAATTTAAATCTTGTATTTACGAAACAATTTGATTTCATTGTCGGAAATTACTCTCATAAAATTCAGTAGAAATTTTATAACTGAAAGAACAGGTTTGTCATCAATATTTAAGGAAATAAAGCCTGTAGTCACAATTTCGAATATCACAAGTAAAGAACGTTACGTATTATGGTCTCTGCTTTATGAACTGAATAACAACAAAGAAAAAAAATATAATGCTTAAAAATATTATTTTATAGTCTTTTTCTTAGATATTGATTATTGATTTTGGGTCTCAATAGGGTATCTCAATAGGTCTTTGCCAAAGTGAACATGTTGGTCTGTCATACCATGGCAAATTCACAACATTGATGCATGGATTTACGGAAAATGAACAGGTGTGTCACAGGCACATGCCACCGCTTCTCTGATCCTAGCGACGAGATCCATGTTCGATGTTACGGTCATTTAATACACCATGGACTTCATGTATCCCCACAGCCTAACAGCCTAAAATCCATGTTGAGGGATCGCGGTGTCTAAGCGACTGGTTCGCCTCTGCCAATTCAGCGATCAAGATATGTTCTATCATGGTATTCCCCCCCACAGCGTTACTAAAATGTGCAAGCGCTCCATCATGCTGAAACCAGATGTTTCGGCGTGCAGCTGCTGGAACGTCAACCATCAGATCCGGCAACACTCTTTCCCCAAAATGTCTATAATGAACTGAAATGGTAAACCGATTCATTCATCTCCTGCAACGTCCTTACCTGAAATAATCACACTTCCCACTCTCCCCAAACCCAGCGAACATTGCCCTCTGGCGGTCGCCGTTCACATTTTCGGACACAAGTTCCTATGTAAATCTTGTTCGTCATGGTATGAAAGACCAGCATTTTAAGTTTGGCAGCGACCTTTTGAGACACCCTGTATACGCTAATTACTATGATTTTATTAAATACGTTATAAATATATTGATTTGATATCTATGACATCTGTTAGCAAATCATTTCCTGCTTAGCATATAACATAGATGACAAAATAATGAAAGTAAAAGGAATGGAGACAAAGAAATGAACTTGGAAAATGAGTATTGGGCAGCGATTAAAATTTCTGAATTCCATACCATTTGCGTCTAATTTTCAGACATTTCCTTACGTCGGAGAAGAATGATCACAGTTGGTTTAAGTAATACGCAACAAAGAAAAGCAGTTTAATGCTATTTTGATTTAAAGTAGCATAAAATTGCTTTTCGTATTCGTCGTAATTGCTAAGTGGAGGTCGAAACTAATTCTTAACGTACGTTTAACTCTTAATCTACATTTTAGCTCTGTTACTTTGATTGATGTTATGCCGAGGAATATTTCTTTTAATTTCAGTAGAAAATTTTGCGCATGTTTGCCAGCCGATTTAATTAAAAATTTCGCTTAGAGGGCTTAAGAATTAGATAACGGCTTACAGGACGGAACATCACATACTCGCCAAATATGATTTTTCTTGCCCTCATTAAAGTTACTGACATAATCCTTTTATTCAGGGTAGCTATTTGTAAACAAAAAGAACTGCTTCCCAAATACCTATGCCTAAATTATACAATTTATGAACTTTCTATGCGAAGGAAATGCTCATTTGCAAGGTATAATATATATATAACATTCTTAACGTTTTTTTTTCTGTTCCCTTAAAAGGAGTAAGTAACAAATTCTTGATTTATCGGGGTTTTGAGCTCCTAAATAATAGTTTCTGAGTTTTCATTCAGACCCTTCTAATGCTCAAATATCTATAAAAGATAATTTTACGAACGTTTATGCATCAAGAGTGAGCGACTGTGAACTTAAAAATATGATTCCGGGATTTATCTCAAACAATGTTTCAGCAAAATGATAAAATAACTATAATTAGTAGCTTTCAGAAATGCATAAGACTTACTTGTGCTGCACTTATCCAGAACAACTGTTTCGGTGTATACTTTAATCCCGGAAGCTTTGGCTCTTCTTGTTTCTTTTCACTACTCCATATTTTATATCCCTAGGAGAAAATGGATTTATATCGAAACTGTGCAATGAGATGTGTAGTGAAATCATGAGCTACTGATGATGATAATCAAAATATAACATATAAGTAAGAAATGTAAAACCAAATAGCACACAGTCCTTCTATATGTAGCTTAGTTGAAGCATGCGAATTAGATGTATAATTTCAGTTAATTTTGATATCTATACACTGGATATAAAATAAAATCTAAACAAAATATATAGAAAAATAGTTCAGTAGCAGTAGAGGCTTTGATAACATTATTTTATGTACAGACTGTTAATAATTTTATAAAAAGAAATGCAATAAAACAACTGAACCCTCTCCGGAAAAGAAAATACAGGTACTTAGTTATTTCGAATTCCTACATTGAATTTCTTCATAACGATTTAAAAAATTATAATGATTGAAAGCGTTTCACCTATTTATGACTGTAACTATGAAACTAGATTCTCGCCAGAGGACAGGCTCTGTACTTGAAAGACGTGTAAAAGTTGAGAGGGCATGTTACTTCAGCTTTTTGAGTATAAATGAAAGTATATGTCTTATGCTTTATACATGAAAGGACATCCTCTATGCGCCAATTATTTTGCTTTAAGAATTTTAGACTGATAGGGTTTGAACTTGAAATTTTTAATTTGGTTATTCCGTAATCTGTGCAATAAAGTAAATACTTATGGGGAAATTTTTTCAAAGTGTTTAAGTTTTAGGTCCATTATCTTATTATTTTTATTGTTTGTTCTACTTTCCTTGGCTCCGAAAGGCAAATTAGTTAACGCATATAAGAATAGAATGCTTGAAATTAAGAGAGAACTTCTAGAAGCGACTGCTGATTTTCTCTAAATTATTTTTTCGTTAGATTTACCTGGATAAGTTTCCGCCCCTTTCAGTTTTAGCCACGATTGTTCGGAGTCATATTAAGTTGTTCAGTTAAAATTCTAATAAATAGGTTTATTTTAAACCTTCCGAGTGCGGAGTTAATTTCACTAGAAGACTAAGGTGGGGTGAAAAGTCGCCTGATTGTCTACACGGAACTAGAATTTGGCTTTGAAGTACATAATTTCTGTACACTAGCGCTCAACGTGAATAAAACGGAGACACAGCAACGTTTATTCTAGCACCTGTAAGGCTGAAAACTGAAGCAACGCCTTTAATTAAGTAGGTTTTGGTTTTAATGAGTTCCCCAAAGGGAGTCACCTATATCTATTGGGTCTGAATCAGGTCAGAGAGAGGCCGGTACAAACAGTTCAATGCACATAAGTCTGCGACGGACTAGGAAGAGTATTTAGCCCTATGCAAAGAAAAATGCAAAAAAGCTGAGGATTCAACCAGCGTCTAAAGAAAGCTCTACGAAGAAAAGAAGGAACTGAGAGTGCAGAGGAAACAGTGAAAAAGAAAAGCGAAAGCCTAGTGAAAAAGAAAACGCAGCGTTTGGCGTCGACTTCACTATAGGAATCGGAATGCAAACTGCTAAGTCAACTCAAAGACCAAGAGAATTTTCGTAGACCCAGGAGATTTCACGATCAACTGCGCCACTAGTGGAAGAAAAGATCAAGGCACACTAGACACGAAGGAATTCTAGAGTGATACAAAAGACTCTGCGACCAGCCAGATGAGGAGATGGAAAGCAACAACCCGGGAAGCAGTCAACATCCCCAGGCAATTTCACGAAAGCAATGACTGAAACAGTCTGATCTCAAGGAATGTCAGCGTTGATCCATAAGATTCACGAGGAAGAGACCAAAGGACAATGAGCTAGACAGCAACTGAGATATAAAATCATGATTAACCAGTTACTATAGTCAAATTGGAGTGAGTTTCTAGCCTAGCGGAATGACTCACTAAAGAAATCAGAGATAGAGCTTTTGCAAACCAAAGTTAAATGCGAATGTATCTATAGTATTCATTTTATGTTTATTCAAGTGTAACTTTATTTTATGTTAATATATTCGTATGTACGCGAATTTGCCAGTATGTTTTATTTGAAGCGAAATTTTCGAATTGTGGATAACAGGTGGAATTTTTTTTTTTTTTTTGTTTACGAACATTAATGTGCTCTGTAAATTTTATTGTGTATTATCATAACATTCAGTATTCTTATTTTAAAAGGACTGTAAATAGTCAGAAAATTTTGGAATAAAACAAATAACAGCAAATTAATATACGTGTTTATGAATTGTTATATGTAAAATTAAAAATTGAGTGAATGTAATGAAAACTTCATCTGTTTAATGTGGACTGCAAATTTACTATGCATAACTAAAAATGTATTAAGGATTTGATATCACTATAAAGGAAAATGTATTACAGGAAATACATTGGTCATCAAAATTAATGACTAATGAAAAAAATATGCTTACTAAGTTTATGTTGCAACCAATGCCGTAATTATTTATGTTAATTAAATACAACTGGACATGAAATTACACTTCCGTGCGTACGTTAGCACCGGAAACACGTAAATTCTATGGCTATGAATGTGGAGAAAATGAACGCATGTTGGAATTCCGATTTGTAGTGTTTTTTAATGTAATGAGATTTCTAAGAGTAAACAGTATTCCGTAGTTATGGTTCAAAGGCATCATTTAAGAGAAGGTGGCGAATAACTGTAGAAACGAGAGAGATCAAACACAAATGCAGCCCAAGTTTTGAATATCTCTCAAAGTATCATATCAAGAGTTTGGAGCCTGTTTTTAAGCACTGGCTCAGTTGACAGATAGCCTGGCCAAGGGCCACCAAGAGCAACCACTGCATCACAAGACCATTTTTGTCATTGTCAGTTCGAAGAAACCGCGAAGCGACTACATGTTTAGACTATGTTTAGACGATCTATGTTTAGACCTTCAGGCTGCCACAGGAACTCGAATTAAACATTCTACTGCTGAACGAAAGCTTAATTAGGTTGGATTGTGTGCGAGAAAAACCAATGGTTTATGTCGCACTCACACCAGCTTCCAGAAGAACCCGTTTAAATAGTGCCGTCGTCATGTTCAGTGGCGTTAAAAGGACTGGGCCAGAGTATTGCTTACTGACGAGTCCAGATATAGGCTGAATTGTGATTCTAGACGTGTTTTGATTTGGAGAGAGAAAGGAACATTCAACTTGCCTTCCCTTATCCGTGAAATATCCCGTTCCGGCGACCATGAAAAAGGCCGATTTTGTGTCAAAATACCTATTTTCCGGCGACCATGAAAAGGGCAGTGCTCTCTATATAAATATAATATATTTATCCTAAGTCGCGCTTTCGAGATATGAAAAACGCAAGTTAAGTTTCGTCAATCGGTCCAGTAGAACAAGAAATATGGAACTATCACATTTGTTTTTGTGTATGTGTGGAAGGTGTATATAGCATTTATATGTATTCTTTAAAATTCACATAATTTTACTTCTATATCTATCTCTATATATCTATATGTATATTTATTCATATATATATGTAAGATATAACAAAATACGATGGCTACTTTAAGAAATAATTGGCAACCTCAAAATTAACTACTCTAAATTTGGTGGTCTTCTCTTTAAGTTTATCCTTTTTCTCACATTCGAGACCTTTCCAAATTACAAAACACTGCTTGAAAAAGGTAACTAAAACTAAAATTAACCAATCGCGCCTTAGCTTTATATATGCACCTACGTAATATAAATGCTGGTCGCGAGCAATGACACCTCCCTTTTTTCCTGACTTCTTGCAGACAATTGTGCTCCGCTATGCTTCCCTGCTTGAAATGACTTCGTATCTTTTTTCCTTTTACATATAAATTTATTGTATTCGACGATGATTGAAAAGTAATTTGTATGCCAAAGAGATGATTTGAAATGAAATGTGTAAGGGAAGGTGGTGATTCGCCGAAATTAGTTTTGTCAGCGTTCTTATTCATGCCTCTGTACTCAGACTTCTGTCTACAACGAGAAGTTAAAGTACCGGATTACTACTACGCATTAAAATATTACACACACATTATATATATATATATATATATATATATATATTATATATATACCACTTTCCTATCTTTTCAGTGCATATGCAAGAAAGACATTTCTGTAGTTAATCAAGTTTATGTTCACGCAGACTTTACATGAAGTTCTACACTGAATTCAAAACTGACTGAAAAAAATATCTACTTCAAGGGAAGACAAAATTGAAGTGGTGCGAAGTAGAACGAAGTTAACATTAAAAGCCAAAGGAAAAGGCAGGGTCAAAGAAAAAAGGATCATAGCTCCATCTATAGAGGAAAAATCGAATATAAACTGGATACCAAAGCTAAAATTCTAAAATTATGAAAATTTAAATAAAACTGTACTCGAACTAATTTTTTTAGTTAAAATAAGTAGGTTGGTTTCGTAAAGGCAGAACATTTCAAAAGTGCCAAATTCACAGTTGTGAACATTTTCCGGATTAATTTTATTAAAATAAAGATATATCATATTTTATCAAAATAAAGATGTCATCGTACACTGGAGGAATAAATATTTACTGGTTACTGGTACATCTAAATACGAGTAACCGCAATATTTATTCAGCTATTTTTTAGTTTAGATAACACGCTTGTTCATGCAGAATGTTTGCTTGATATATCACAAACGTCATCGAAAAAGAACGCGACAAATTCTAAAAAATTAAAAGAAATATTAGCAAATATCATGATTAAAAAATGAATTTTTTTAAAAGACAAGCGGATAAGTGAGAAAATCATCTGAAAATTTCACTCTCGGAGAATCCGAGGAATTTCAGAAAGACAGAAATATTGACAGGAGAACAGCAGGTTATTGAGTTGCGTCTAATACAGGACTTCATTTACAACTAAAACGATGATGATGTTTTAAGGAAATATCATTAACTTCGAAAGAAGTTTTCATCAATAACAGAAGATTTCGAATAATTTACTCGCTATAGAAGGAAAAGATTTTTAAGAACAAATTTTGAGGACAAGGTTAAGCATAAAATTAAAAGTAATTTTTCAATTATTACAGAATGAACTTTTAAAATTATTACAGAATAAGATTCAGGGCTTCAGGGTGAAGAAAAATTTATAAATATTTATGACAAACAGTTAGCATTCAAATTAATTTATTATTGGTAGACAAAACGAGAATGTAAAGATTTGCGTGATGGGTTTTAGATGTGATTTGAATGGCGTATTAGTCAAATTCATGATAGATAATATTTGTTAAGTACTCTTTATTAAAATGTTAGCAAATATATATAACAAAAGATAGAAAATAAATTTTTTATTAGCATCTAAAACTGCCAAAAATTTCATAATAAATCAGAATAGCATAGTTAACCTTTTAAATATGATTTGTTTCAAATGCGATTAAATAAGATCTCTCAAAAAGTGGATAAGAATTTCAATATCAGAATGCATATAGTTACAATTTGTGACATTAATTTTGATTTCTTAAATTCGAATTTATAGCTTACCTCATAAGCTGCTTTCAAACCAGAGATGTAACCTATGTACTCATCCTGTGTCTCAAAGATTTTTATCTAGGGAAGATATAATAGTTTCAGTTCATGTTCAAGAGATTTTATCACTTGGCTGCTAATGCATGAGAATACACGCGAGTATTAAAGTACACTCTCTACACTGCGCTCCCATAGAAAGCACCAGATTCATAGAGACTTGGTCAGTATTTTGATTCATTCAGTGTTTGATAGCATTTTATATCTATTTATGTAAGAAAGGTATTACTTCGATTTTATCAATGGGAATAAAGGTAAAAAGCTAGGAAAATCTTCATATATAAAAATATGACCAAAATAGAGAGATTTGAAGATCATCTTATTCTACAAAGATGCATCTTACTGCAAGATCTAGCATCATCAAGGAGTAAATTTATAACCTTTAAAAGTATAAATAACTTATTGTGTGGATTTACCTCCCCATCTAGTTATATACTACATGCAATATTATGTATACATACTCTTATTATTTTCTTACTCTAACTGTAATTTATGCACCGTATTATAGTTTAATGCTAAATTTTTATATGTTGCTAGCACCGTATCTAATCTTTTTATATTCGGTTGTTAGAACTTTGCTTTAAAAATACACAAATTACAAACTGAAAGCGCAGTTATTAATTCTCAGAAATATTCTAAAAAAAATCTGACACTGTAGAAAATATCTATTTGATAAGCGAATTTTATCTAACTTGTCAACATTTACCATTTATATTGTAAAAGTCATGTACTATAGTCATGTCATAAATAAACAAACTACAAAATTTTAAGTGCAGCAATTAAATCTAATAAATGTTCCAAAGAAATGTGATACTGTAGAAAATAGCTATCTTTTGAGAATCAGCATCGCACCATGTTTTCTTTACACACTCTGAAATGTCTCTTATCTAAATTTGAAAACAGCGAAAAAGTTAATTTAAATTTTTCTTACAATTTTTTCAAGAACTTATATATCCTAAAACAGAAAGTTAATTCATGTAAGAAATCTGAATGCTAGAAAGGCACATGTCCAGTTGTTAAGAAATATTTTACTAATTTTATTAGAAGAAGAAACCTTTTTTGGCGCTTCTTAAGAACGGCGTTTTCTTTTTGCCTGGAGTAACCATCGTATATAGGGTGAATACGAAAATGCGGACAAAACTGGACAGGATGATAGAGCGAAACTGTGCGAGCAATATTCGTCACAGAATGTAATGTCGGAACGCACGCGGTGAGAAGCTAAATGATAATTTTTCCACTGTAACATTTAAAAAATAAACACAAGAAAGGAAATACCTCAGGAAACATTTTATTTAGAGGAGTGTAATTGATATACATGCTCAAAGAAATTGCTCAAAAGACCTTCCCCCAGCTGTAATGCAAGATTCACACCTGTGGGAACGCACATTTGCGAAGACACTAGGCGTTTCCTGAGTATCGCCGAGTAGATCCATATTGGTTTGAAAGGGGCATTCGTAGATTAGGCTTTCTATACCGCTGCACAGGAAAAAGTATAAACGCGAGAGAGATCCGGTGATCTTGGTGGCCAAGCTATGGGACCACCTCGACCAATCCATCTGCCTGGAAATTTTGCAGTTCGTATAACCAGCCATCCTCTCGACAAACCACGGTAGAATATGCCGTTGGCTGCGAGGACCGACCCCTTTTATACCATTTACAATGCCATCCTTGTGGCTCGCCGTTTACGTCGCGCCCAAACTTTCTATGACGAATATTGCTCACTTTTTCAGATTAACCCTGTAGATATACATGGATTTAGCTTTCAGTTTCGAAAAGAAAAAAAGATGAAAATACATTTGCAGTAAACATTGTGTAGAACTAACTATATATTAAATTAAAATGAAGAATATATTATTGTTGTAAACCTTCGTGACTTCGGCTTTTTCAAATGCACATTCCTCGCTTTAAGAATTACTATAATTATTAATATTCTGAAGCTTTGCAATCTAACTACTAATCTGCACGTTAATACCATACTCGAAAAATTATTAGTTTTACTAAAATTACACCTGATCACTTTTGAATGGATAATACACTACTTTTTTTAACCTATAAGTAATAACGATCCTGGAAAAGATTTTAAATATATACTATAGAGACAGATTTCAATGTAATTTACCTTGGGATCATTCCAAAGGTCAGGTTTTTTGATGAAATCAAAGTATTCCTTTTTGGCACAGGAAATCTTAAGTTTTAATTTTCTATCTGCATTTTCTTTTAATGGCCACCACTGGACTTTATTGCCATTTTCGTCAATCTGCCGACCTGTTATATTATTAGCAATAGACACATAAAGAAATACTCACACATATAGAAAAAAATAAGTAAAAAAAGCAGTTTAAAAACTAGTATTGTTTTACATGTATGTAGACGCATTTGTTTGTTATTTAGACACAATCTGCCGGATAAAATTTTAACAAGTTAATGGTTTTGATGTTGTTTCTTAACAATTTTAGATCTTTCTGCATATTTAATATACCCAACGTAGGGAGATCAAGGCGACCTACATTGGTCATAATGTCTTTATTGACAAGAGGGACGGTGTCTTCCTCCAGTTCAACCCACCATAGGGCCTGTGTGGGTTGGGCTGATAAAGACAAATTTCTATGATTAGTTTTCTGTGGTCTATTGAAGTATTAAATTCTAAATTATTATTTGTGTCACTGTCAGTTCAGAAGCAGGATGATGCATTTACTTCTATCGTTGTACCAACCCCCTTTACGACGGTGCGGCGAGGAAAGTAAATGACTTCTTTTATTTTCTTTTACCTCTTTTCATTTTTGCTTTAGACTGTTTTTTGCCGCTTATCATGTAGTTTGTCACTGTGCTTCTCAACTTTGATTTCAGTGGTTTGTTGTGGGTTGAATATGGTTCTGGTTTGAATTCGAATGTTTTATCTTAATTTTATTTTAATTTTTTTCTCTCTCTCAATATACATTTTTACACATCAGAAAAGGTCTGTCTGCTTAACTGAGAATGCCTTTAGGGAGAACTTTCTAATGTAAGCTGGCTTTTGTACGTTGCACAGGCAACCAGCCGTATGTTGTTATTCGAATCCGAATTCAGCTTCGAGTGTCCAACTATATTGCAATTATGGAAACACCCGTTGCATTTGCTTTGGTTATGGTCTGCAATCAAAGCCAGTACATCTGAGTTGAACAGTTACTTCTGAGGCGAGAAAAAAGAGGTTTCGGAAGTGTAAATTGCAAAAAGGTTCTACGCATTCTTTTTCGTATTGTATAGTTATATACATTTACGTAAAATTATGATTGGTACTTGACACAGCGGCTATCGCCCTAAGTCGTCATAATTGAGAAATTTGGTCACCCGTTCTACTTGCGTAAAACTTTTAAATGTCACCAAACGATGTGAATTTATCGGGTCCTATTTAACACGGTACGGTTTTTATAATCTCGGGGAACGAGCTGGCTGCATGGGCGTTTTCATGGTTTTCCCCATGTGTAAGGTGTAAATGAGCAAGTTTTACTTAGAATGTCCTCCAAGAATGTATCCCTTCCCTTAGGAACAGCCCTCGAGAACTTTGCCATAATAAAATAAGCCAAACCAAACTAAATCACCTTTTCAACTCACATAACAAACATTAGACATATACGTCGTTTCTAAAGCACTGCAATAGCTGTACAGTTTGAGATGCACAGAAACGTTAGTTATGTCATCTAGCAACACGGGCACAACTCAAGAAACATTGTTGATGAACAGAAAGCGTATGCTTCCGCCAACCATATGATTCAAACTGATGCAAGAATGTAACATTTTATATTATCGCATCAGTGTTTTAGCCAATGTACGTGAGAAACCAAAGAATGCAATAAGTACTGCTGCCATTTGTTAGTGCGGTACTGAAATAAAACATGTGACAGTGCTACCTAGCAAAAAAGACGATTTTACAATGTTGGGGAACGGTCATAATCAAAATTCGCACTTTCTGAGTTGTGGAAGTACTGCAGTCCATGGACAATGTCATAACTAGTTTTTCTTGTTTTCCAACTTATTTGACTGTACATTGAATTTGTGATTATAGTATTTTATAAATTTAATGTAGTATAATTCCTAGCGTTTTCGTTTTTAACGTTTGGAAATAGGACACTTAATATGTTTTACTCTTTGGCTGAATTGGTAATATAAGTAATCTTTACCTTTTTCATCAAAAGCTCGTAGAATTTCATGACCTATAAGGTAACCGAAGGTTCCGAAGTTCAAATAGCTGAAATAAATTTACGAATGAATACCCGGCATTTGTGACATTTTCCAAATATTATTAATGTAAACATACACATGCAAATAGTAGTTTTAAGTTGAAGTTAGTCTTCAAGAAATATGTAAGATATTTATTAACTCACTTCGGTAGATCTTTTTTGAAGAAGCCATGTCGTAAATTTCCTGCGGGAAATTCTAGAAAAAAAGAATAATATTAATAAAGCCTATACTTAAATTATAAATCTTAACTCCAAATTACTTGAAATTCAATTAAATGTTTTGAAACACTAATAACACTGACGTAGGCTGACTGAAACATTCCAAGACTGATTCTTTCATTAAGAATCAGATGATCCTTCAAGCACTAATATTTCTTCTTTTTCTTTTAAATACGAATTATTCACACTGATTTACATTTCTCGCAGCATTTTATAAGTGATAAGGCTGTTTTGTAACATCTTTTTTATCCCTTTATATGGAGTGGTTTCACATCCACATCCATACAGAAGCTTTTACAACATAACTATCTTTTCAGTGTTGAGAACGCCCACAAGTCGCATGTCATTAAGTCTACTTTATATGTAGGCTACTCTAGTATTCACATATAAATTTCAGACATTGCTGCCAACAACACAGCAGTAATATGTAGCCGAGCATTGTTTTGGAGCAAACCATTTTGTTCCGTCTCAAAATTCTGTCTTTTCTTTCTCGTGTCTTCATCCAAATGATTTTTAAAACATTTAACACTCTTACTGCGCTTACGGGTGATGGTAAAAATTCTGATCAGACCGCGTCATCCGTATTTGGGTGACAGTTCCTTGAGAAGCATTTGAAAAAATGATTGATGATAGTTGAAAGAAAGATACGAAATGGAATGTTGCCGACAGCTAAATTCATTCCATTCACTAAATTGAATTGTGCTTTCTTCGGTACCAACTTTTCTTTCTTCCTAAACAACCAATTTTTGTAAAATATGATCAATAGTATCTATGCCATATTTATTATCAATGTATTTATCAGTATTCGGATCTGAATTTGAAGATGCAATTTTGTTTATAATTATCTTTCTGAAATATTTTAAGTATTCCTCATCGCTAATAATCGAAATTTTGTAAGCCTCGCAACAGGTTCCTTCTTCACTGCCATATGATTCACTTAAAAATTAGTCTTTCATTTTTTTTCAGGCATTGCAAAAAATTGGGGCAACAATTTTTAATGAAAACTTTTCAACCATTTGTCATTCAGGAAAAAATATTTGAATCTCACAGCCTTTCTTGGCTACTTCGTTCTTGAGGAAAGATTTTTAAGCTGATTAGAAGTTCCAAAGCGTTTCGTTCTAGGCGTTCCAACCTTCTACGATCCGAAACAATTGACGTCTGGTATAGTAGAGTTCGTGACCTAAAAGAGATTATCTGACAAAGTCACGTGGCAGTTAACATGTTAAATGACAGTCTGCCCTAACTGTCTTCGCTTAGTCCAGCAATGTTGATATTAACATTATCCACACAACTATCAGAGTGCGTTTTGTATTACCGCTTTAAAATGCCTTTATCATTGAAATATTAAAAACAATTTTAAGGGATTCATCATTATATAACCTAGATTAAACTTTCAATGTTTTATGATGGCTCTTTTCAGGTTTAATATAAAAGTCAGGCACATTTCTGATGTACATAAATAAAGACACTTTTCTAATCCTCTGCAGAAAGTACAACAAATCGAACTGACTTAAAATGTTCGTTTAAATCGGCTTCAATGAAGTATTAAAGACATGGCTGTTTAATCTTAGAATAAGGAACATCGACAAATAATCCCACACCTACTCGATAATGGCCACGTCTAATATCGAGAAAAAAGAAGAAAGGCAGTTGTAAACATTTCAAAAAGCTTTTATATGATTTGGGGGAAATAATCGGTAAAGGAGAAAAAAATTATTACTAGCTTTTAAAAATCAATTTTCCCCTTATCATACCCAAAGGAAAACGTTTATTGCTAATGTAATCTGTGTGTATACGTTTGAGGAAGAAACAATAAAGACATTTACATCGTTCTAATAGATTAGATATAAATGATCTGCACGTTTAGGCCTGGAATTAGCTATGAAGGGTCAATTAAAATTTGCATTTAACAAGATATTTCTGGAAAACTTGTTGATTATTGGAAAGGAAGAGCATTCATGAAATCATTTATACATAAAATGATTTCAAAACTATAAATATTCCACCTAATTAATTCCCTTAAGTTAATTTTTGACATTTCATGACGTAAGATTTCAGTGGTTTGCTAGTTCTATTACTAGCATTCTGAAAGAAGATTTTACTAATAGGGAACAAATACTACTACTAATAGGGATTTTACTAATAGGGTTTACAAGGGAAAACTAATACTTTTCATACATAACAAGATTCTCTATACTGTATTTATCTTTCCTGTTGTATTTTTGAAAATTTTGGGAATTATAGTAATTTTGAAAATTTGTAATTCATGATCGTTCCTTATAACTGCAGTTATGCAAATTTGCATCACTCGTTTCTTCTACAGTCTCTGGTTCAATAGTTTCAAGACGGCGGCAGCGGTAGCGAATTTAAGTATTAGGTATCATTGACTAAAATATCATTACTAGCTGCCATTTATTAAAAAGTAATATTAATTTAAAAATTTAAAAATTATAGCTGCAATTAATTTTTTGATTATAGATGTATATTAGTTTTATGAATTTTCATGAAACAAAATCTTTAAAGTGAAATATTTGTTATTTACATTAGGCAGTTTTTTTGTATTTACATTATGTTAAATTATATGATAGAAATGAGCTGCTTCCATTTTGCACAAATAAGAGTCAATTTAAAAATTAAAAATCCTTTTTTTAAATGAAATACTTCAAACGTTAATCAGAGCTTAAAAAATTAAATTCTACCAAATTTTGAAAGAAAGTAAAGATCTTTAATTCTTTCTTGATATTGAACAATTATTTTTTTTTTTATTTCTTCAGTTTTGGTGGATATTGTTGTCTTAGGTATACCAATTCAAATTTTGTTCCAGTTATTGAAACTAAAACTAGTAATGTCTCAAAAATACAGATTACGAGGTTTATAGATTTATAATGATCAAAATGTAGAAAGCAGAAAAAAAAATGGCAAAATGAGTTTTGAATTTACCAATTATGTTTTCCAGATAGTTGTAATATGGTTTTATAGCTGGTGCTTTGTCATATTTTTTCCAACTGCAAATAAACATGTATCAGTATAAAATAAAATGTTTCTGATTTTAACTAAGCATTTTAAATTTTGCAACACATCGAATACACAGCATTGCCTACATTTTACATAAACTTATTCATAAGTGTTGATAAACTCGCGTACACAACGTTTTATTCTTTAAGTACATATACTACATAGTTCTATAATTCTACTAATTTTTGGTGAAATGGAATATCAACGTCTATTAACAGGAAAGATACTATGAATTTTTGATTAAAATTATTTGGAGAACCAGCAGCAGGCGCTGCTTGATGTGATCGCGTTGGATGTTATCATTCGGATATTGTCAATTCATTGCCGAAATCCAACCTATTTATATACGAAGATGTGGAAAACTCGTCACTTATTGTGATCAACAAGCCGTTTAATATGATCAAAATATTATAAGCTGACCAAATGGGGTAGTGGTTAGTGGATTACCGTACCAAAGGGTCCGGGTTATATCCCAGAAAATGAATGGATTTTTTTAAATGTATTATAGTTTTTCGGTACTCATATGGAGAGTTGAAAGTCCTCTCAAGTGGATTGATGGTAGGGAAAGAGGGATTCACCCTCCAGAGGTGCTTTTCCTCAAAATCGGGTTGGAGCTGGGCAAAACCGTACTTTCACCTATAATGGTGCCAAAGGCTCTTGCCAACGACAGGCGTAATCTTGTACTCCTTACCTCGATCAATTTCATAGGTTTGTTCTGATGGCAGACAAGCGAGATTAGTCACAACAGCAAAATATTGTTACGAAATGTACAGGCGCAGTGAGATGGCTTCCCCCACAAAGCAGTTTAGGGTTGCCATAAAATGGCAAGGGAAAGCAGGGTTGCCATATTCGGCGAGAAATCGCCCATTTGGCGACATTTAGCGACAAAATTGGCGATATACCATGGACTGATGGAGAACCTTCTGGAACGAATTCTTACCGGTTTAGACCGGAATGTTCTCGAACACAAGCCGAAAGCTATATAAACCCTGATTGTCCGCAGTCAGTTAGTGCGAGTCAGTGTGTCTCGAGCTAGTCCGTCCGTGTGAGTTCTATCGAGTTGACAGCAGGCAAGGCGTGAGACGGGGGTCGTCGAGAGGCCACGAAGAGGAGTCTGTTAGTGTATCGCGGTTAGTGCATCGTCGAGAGAGCGTGTTGAGCTCCGGGAATGACTGAACTGAAGAGTCGGGAGCTGTGCTCGTGTGTCGTCGAGTACATCGCGAGTTGTAGCGTGGAGAGTCTCGAGAGTACAGGGAGTTCCGAGAACGACCAAGCAGAGTCGGGAGCTCTACTCCGGAAAGCAGAGTATCGCTTTAGAATCGCTTTGAATACTAACTTCCTGTAGATGATTGTTGCAATCGACTACTGTTTTTCAGATATATCCAACTGTTCTTTTTCTCATTCAACAGATGCATTTAACTAGCTGTAAATGACCTGAAGTGAAGGGCTATAAAAATACAGCAAAAACAGTTAATTTATATCCACGTTGATAAAAACCAAAGGTGGCTTATCCAGAATCAGTCGGAGTTACATCCAAGCGTATATGTTAAAAGTGTGTTATGATGTCACGTTTATCCGTAACTGGCGCTAAATCGTATTGCTTGGTGACGCTTTCATGGTAGGCGGGATAATACGTAAGTACGAGTGCAACATTAGGATTAAATAAAAAAAAATAATATTTTTGCTTAATTTCCATTATTTCAGTTATTAACATTTTCAAGTTACTTTTGAATTTTAACTAGGTAGACCTGTGGTGGAACATAATTTAATGTTTCTATATAATATTATTAAAATTAAGTGGCAACATGATGTAATGTTTTCAATAGTTATTTAGATTCTGCCACACGGCGAAGTCGAGCTAAAAATGTCGTTACTTGGAGTGTTCCTTGATAAGCGTTGCGTAAGCTTTATTTCTAAAAAGTATGTTATATTTTTATGTAAAAAATAAGTTACATGTTGCAAACAAGAATAGAAATTGTAAAAATAAATATAATGTTTCTTTTAAGACCAAAATAAGCATTTGTTTCACTTATGAAATGCTCTGGCTGATCAGTTTCGATTTCGCTTATTCCTCAAATCCACAGATCTCAAACTTTAGTACCAAACAATTGTTCAAAATTCTTGGCTAATGCAGGGTGGTAAAAGAGAAACCGAACTCAAAGCAAGTGAAGAACACATGAAATGTTAGACGATATTATATCGAGTGGCCCCATACAAAACTGAACTGAATATAGGAGACTTCACTTGCTTTGGGTTCGGTTTTTATATCGGGCTACTCAATATATGGAAATGTGCTATAACTTAGTAAGATTATACAGTTAAATTAAATTTATAGATATTTTTATTTGTCTTTGTTTAATTTTATTTTGAATTCAAAACCGCATGAAAAATACTAATATGTATTTCATTGTATAATGTAAAAATATTCAAACCTCTAGCCTAAATATCCGTCTGAGATAAAGCATAAAATGAAAATAAATTTGTTTAATTAATTTCAAAGATTAAAAATTTTGTTTCTGTTGCAAAAGGAATTAAATGCATCACACAGTTTCATCATAATGCTATATTAGACAAATTTATATGTTTGCTAAGAGTATTTAATAAATAAAATAACATAAATCTGAATTTAGATTTTTTAATAAAATAGAGTGCTTATGCACTGTATTTTATTGAAAAATCTGGATTCAGATTTTAGCGAAAAAAGCAATTTTATTTATTTATTATAATTAAATAAATAAAATCTCTTTTTTTTTTCAGTTATTTCCACACATAGAGGTTTTCTTTGTAAAAATATCTGATGTGCAACCACATGACTGCTTGGCGGAATATTAATTATACGCATTTTTTCTTGCATTTCATTAAACTTATTGGATTGAATTAAATCACTCCTCGATAGCATAAACCACAATAGAATAAATGCACTCTTTAAAATTCATTATATTTGTTACATAGCGACATTCTGTTGCTAGGTTCACTTAACAGCGTTATATTTCGTTTCATATTATAATTCAAAAACGCCACAAAATTTACTACCATTGAAGATTATCTAAATCGGCCACATGTTCTATTCAAAAATAATAAATCTAGAACTTGTATAAAAAGAAATTAAGCAAACGGAACAAAACAACAAAAACAAACAAACAAACACAAAAAATCAAAGATGATTTAGTATAAAATATCTATATTAAAATCACGAGTAAATCTTAAACACTTTTTGTTCCTCGAAAAAATTCCAGAAAGGATTAAGTATGATTAATTCGCAATCATAAATGAAAGGGCGTTATCTTTGTTGTTGCGAAGCTACTCTCTAGATTGGCAATAAATTACTATTCTTCTATTCAAATGTAAACAAATAGTCCGGACATGTTATTTAAAAATTAGGCTTAACTGTACTTAAACAGCTTTTAAATTGTGATAATTGTACAAATACTTTTTACAGATTTCTAAAGCCTTAACCGGAAGATAAGAACAACATAATTCAATCATTTTTCAAAGCAGAAAATGCAAAATTTGCAAACATATAAGAATAAAGAAACTGAGATGATTGAGCCGAGTAACAGAGCGGATATATAATATATACATACATTTATATACTTTTGGTGCGGCCGATTGCAAGTATACCAAAATAGGAGGTGCATATCCACATGTTATAGAAGTTCTATATCCAAAATTTCAGCTTTCTGAGGCTACTCGTTTTTGAGTTATGCGAGATACGTACATACATACGTGCGTACGTACGTACAGACGCTACGAAAAATTCTCTTTAGAAATCATTTAAAATCAGTTTTATAATTTTTTTTGGGGGGAGGAAAAGAGTCCTTTCATTCTGTCCTTACGTACAGATGTTACGTAAAAACATCGTTAAATTGCATACGATAGAGGTCAAAATGGATAATTTTGTTGAAATATTCTGCCTGAAACTTTTCGCGTTTACGATACTTCCTTTAACCTTGTTCAAGGAAGTAAAAATGATTGAAGTGAACTGTGTATTAGAAATGGTTGCCATGCAGACCAACCCTTCTTTTTGGTAATAGTTAAATTAATACGAAGAAATATTACGTTCTTTAACTATCAAATGTGCTGTATATTGTTTCATATGGTATAAAAGTCTTTTGCCATTACATCAGGCATTTGCTACTGGAACTTGATGAATAAAGTACAAATAATATTCAAATTAATACATACTCATTTTTTATGTTACGTTTTCGAAGCTGTAAAAATGAATAATTGGTTTTCCACAGGCGTATTTCCCTCATATTGTCGAAATACGTCCTGTAAGTAATGTGGAACTGGAAAAGAATTAAATTATTACGAAGAGAAAAATAGATTTATATTTTAAAAGTAAAAGGACAAAGTAATTGATATCTAGGTCTTACATCTGAGTACATATCGGAGAGATAAGTATCATTCAAAAGCTCTGCTTTATATCCAGTACGTGCTTTTATAGATCGAGCCTGTAAGACAGTAAAATTTAGTATTTTCATTCTCTAATATTATCCAAATATTCTAGCAAATATCAACTTTTAAAATACTTAAAACTCTTTGAGCCAAACTTCAAGAAAAATACGGAATATTCGCTAATATATAACTGTATTCAAAACAAATCAAGCCATCATTTCCTTAAATATTGTTCTTAAACATGTACAACCAGATGTTCTTTTATAGCTCAAGCCTATAATACAAAAAGAATTAGTAATTCAGCTGCTTAATATTATCCAAATATTCCAGCAGTTATTACTTTTAAAATACTTAAAATTGTTCATGCCAAAATTGCAGAACTTTCGGAATATTCGCTAATATATAACTGTTTTAAAAAAATCGAGGCATAATTCTCTTTAATATTGTTCTTAAACATGTACTCCTAGATGTGCTTTTATAGTTCAATTCTATAAGACCAAAAAATTTAGTATTTTCTTTTTCTAATATTATCCAAATATTCTATCAGATACCAATTTTAAAATACTTAAAACTTTTCAAGCCAAACATAAAGAACATCTGGAATATTCAATAATATATAACCGTATTTAAAACAAATCGAGACATTATTTCGTTGACATTATTTTTAACATGTACTCTCACTTGCTACTTTGAGAAACTTGTAAGAGTACATGTTATTTTTAACATGTACTCTCACAAGTTTCTCAAAATGTCACAGAATTTTTAAGGAGTTTTTTAACCTCGCTATCGCTGCAAGGTTTTATTAATGTAGAGGAAGAATGTGATTAATTATTCTGGATTAGTGTGTACATTTGTAAAATAGTTGAAGTTCAGGAGGAAACTCGACACTGCGCTATTCTCCGCCGCAATATTTCCCATAAATATTGTATCAACATTAGACTCAATGAATGTATTGGCCAATCTACTCAAATCATTATCTTCAAAGTAAAGATGTTCGTCCCCAAAACGAGCTAGACAAAATTGAGCACTGTCGTGTACTAGCCGAAAATCTATTCCACTAGTTCCAAGGGAAGACCGAATATTAGGCATCTGGGTTCTACTAGGAACTGTTGCAATAACATAAAGCTTTGCGTATTCGTTAGTAATAATACCACCTCACAAGAGCCAATTGAGCTTTTATTGCACATTTCACGACAGATGAGATTTGTTGATTGTCTCCACATAAAAAATTAGTGAAAGGGATTATATAGGCGATATATTTTTTAGCGATATATGATTTACTCCAGATACCAAAATAAAGATACTTCACTGGAACAAGTCTGAGAAGTTGTCGCAAAAGATATGCCATCACATATAGGGGTTTAAGGTTGTTTACATATATGTTAAAGATAAAACGACATAGATTGCACTAACAGACGCAGTAAAATACGGAGGGAAGTTTCTTTGGTGCTCTAGAATTTGGGAAAGATGCTAAATCTAATTGTTTAATTCGCGGTTTAGAACAAAATACGGGAAGTGAATATGTTTCTGACACAAGTTATTCCTAAGTTCCTTTTCTATGTTAGAATTCAGACAAGAAAAGAACGTTCTATTGCAAAGCTTCAAATAAAAGTACATGTTATTACTTGAGAGTTTAGAGTACGTTGTTAGTAAAACACAGATAAAATTTAATTACTGGAAAATAACAATACACTAATTTCTGAATATGAAATGTTTTAAAACTAACAACAGAGAAGTAATATGTTTTCTTAGTTAAATCTCTGGCTTTCTAGCCAACATTTTGCATTAAATTGTTTAATACTTAAGGGTTAGCAATGGGGAATTTCACGAAGAACATCTTAAAAGAGATTGACTTGCATTTTCATTCTACAATTTTTTACACTGAATACAGTATGAAGTTCTACATCTTTTTACACTGATTACTTATAATACTGTATGAAGTTGTAGAATCCCTTGTCCCAAAAATATCATTTAACTTGTTTTTGTGAGGTTGTCTTAAAACTAAATATCGCATCATTAGTAAAACCTAACAGAATATACTTACATCTTTTGTTTACAGAATTTTGAATACGTCTATCTCAGTTTCCAAAGAGATCAGCTAAAAACATTTCGTATCCCCCCCCAGCTATTCGCTTGCTGGTGAGAATACACTGCAGTGTCTCAGCGTGCCGCCATTTGTTGGGAATGCTGGTCACCACAAATACATGACAGCAAGTCTGAAGCATCGAGCGCACAAAAGGTTTTCCGTTAGAGTGCTATGACGTCTGGGTAGGTGACAAGTTCTGCATATTGTTCGAGAGCCTTTGCACGAATTCTAAAGGCTCAGTGCTGCTCTGAGTAGATTGAACAAGAAATTCTCAGGGAAGACGTTTAGTGGAACTGTACACCAACTCTGCGGTAATGCATTTTAAAACAGGTTTGAAGGCTGATCGTAGTCCTGACAGGACTAACGGCAAAGATTCTGTCCACTGGTTGTTATTATGGCATCTAATCAGGAAGCGATAAGATTACTTAACTAAGCGATTGCTGTAGATGGTGCGGAATGGTCGATAAGCGCTTTGAATGGTTGATATGCAAAAAGAGCGGAATGAAATTATCTCAACTAGTGGATTATTACTGTACAGTCCCCGCCAAAACTGAATAGCCAACACGAGATAAAGGTACGAGCAAACAGTTTCTACAAATATGTCGTTGATAGGAAACGCTTCAGGTTATTGGCTGAATCGGTCAGTACACGTAAGTAGGTACTGAAACCACTCGGTCAGAGGTAGCGGTCCGACAAAGTCTAATTGTATGGTCAAATATTGTGTCTAATAGCACAGAAAATGTGTTGATTTCACGATTTCTCCTCGGAGAGTAGCTGGGACTTATGGACGAACTCCATTATAACTTGTGTCACAGAGAATTTCTAACCTAGGCGAGATCTTAAATGAATTATGCTTTAAAGAGTATAGTGTTGTTCCTCGGATGTTTTGGCTCAAAATCAGTTTGCTGGTGTTTTGCAGTCTTTATATTCCATTCGGTCTAACTTACTTATCTGAGACACTGCATCACCGAGTACATTATCCACCCCAAAAATGCGCTTGATGTTTTCGCCGTACTGAGCTATAAAATCCAAAAGCTTAAGTTGTCGGGGGCGACGTGGAATCAGATTTTTTTCGAAATACTTGAGTTAAGAGTTTGTGATCAGCGTAGTTTATAAAACTTTGTCCTTCCAGACTGTGGTTTAAGTATACTACAGCAGAATAAACGGCTATAGATTAAGCGGCTATAATTTTACTCTACTTGCGAAAGTCTTCAGGAAAAAATGCTAGAGCTTGAGAGCCTTGAAGCGCTGAAGTCGATATAAGGGCGAAATCTGAGGCATCGGTCATAAGGAAGAGTAGCTGATTCGAAGCGTGAAATCTGAGAGTTGCTGTATGTTCAGGATCAGTTTTACACTTCTCAAAAGCAATAATCGCCTGCTCGTTCCACTAGACAGATTGCTTGTCGTTCGTTTTTGAAGCATCCAAGAATTAATTAAAAGGAGCCTACTTATTAGCTCCTTTTCGCATAAATCGTCTGTAGAGTTTACCAATATTAGAGAATGGTGGAGTTGGGAAATAGTTTCAGGTTTTGGAAATTTTAGTTTTTTTACGTGATTTTACACCAGAAGCAGTTACAAGACAAGCCAAGAAGGATACAGCGTCTTAGATTATAGATACAGCATATAGATAATAAGAGCAGATAAATATACAGCTATTAGATACAGAATACAGCATGTAGATTTGTCTAATGCACAGATAGCGGGATTAAAGTTTAAAGAATGTAATTTTAACAGGTCAAAAACTAGCTTTACGTGAAGAAGCTATTTTTCATCAGTGGTAGATGCAACAAGGTTGTAGAGATATTAGGTTAATTGGAAAAGCCGGAGAGATGAAAAATGAGCAAACGCCTTCGCCGGGAATCGAACCACGGACCTCTGGAATACCGGCCCAGCGTGCAGAACCACTACACCACGAAGGCACGCTAGGAAAGCGGGAGAAATACTTTATATACTCCTGTGGTCTGGTGTTTGCTAGATGTTCAAACTGATCTTATATACTTCCCTTTTTAAAAGGCGACTGAAGTTTTTAGAGGACCCAATCGCCAAATCTTGGGTACACCCAACACCCTTTTAGTTCGAGCGCCACTGTAGAGACATTGGGATTTTTTTGGAGCAAGAGAGATGAAAAATTAGCAATGGCCTTCGCCGGGAATCTCACCATGGACCTCTGAAATAGCGGCTCAGTTTGCTAACTACTGCACCACGAAAGCACGCTAGGAAGGCGGGAGAAATACCTTATGTACTTCCCTTTTTAAAGGGCGACTGGGTTTTTAGGGAACTCAATCTTCAAATCTTGGGTGAGGAGAATCATCATCCAACACTCTTTTAGTTCGAGCGCCACTGTAAGGACATTAGATTAATTGGAAAACCCGGAGAGATGAAAAAAATGAGCACACGCCTTCGCCGGGAATCCAACCATGGACCTCTGGAATACCGGCCCAGCGCGTGCAGAACCAATACACCACGAAGGCACGCTAGGAAAGCGAGAGAAATACCTTATAAGATCATCAAATTATGATACTATAAAATCCAAGCCAGATAATATCTGTGAATGAACCTTTGGAAAGTTCAACCTGAATTTCGTAATGCAAATTGTTGTTTTGGGCATATACTTTTGGTTAATTGGAAATTGGTGAAATGCTTGTAAAAGAGTATGGTAGTAGCGTTTAGCCAACAGTAATCACCACAAGGACTCCAACTGCTATTCGCTTTATGAACCATATGGACTAGGCAGAGGGCTTTCTGAAGTGCGAACATAAGAAATTCGAATAATTAGCACACAGCTAAGTAGCTAAGTAGCTCAGGAGGTTATACTGCGCGGCTTACAAAAAAGCAGGAAGTTCTTTAGTCTCGATACGTTAATAGACTATTGAACTTTTTATTATATTTGAAATTTGTGATGGATTAGTGAGTTAAGAATAATCAGCAAGAAATTTATTAAATTTTGAATTGCTTAGAAGGTTAAACAAA